ACCCAGTGTGAGACTTGAACTCACAACCTTGAGACCCAGAGTCACACATTCCACCAACTGAGCCAGCCAGGCACCCCAACCATAGCATTATTTTTGAGGGTTCCATAGTATTCCATTTAAAAGCTACAACACAATTTAGGGTATTTAATGTTCTCTTGGTGGGCATTTAGAAAGGTTCTAGGTTTTTTTTTTTAAGATTTTTATTTATTTGTCAGAGAGAGAGAGAGAGAGAGAGAGCACAAGCAGGGGGAGTGGCAGGCAGAGAGAGAAGTGGGCTCCCTGCAGGGAGCCTGATGTGGGGCTCCATCCCAGGACCCTGGGATCATGACCTGAGCCGAAGGCAGACACTTAACCTACGGAGCCACTCAGGCATCCTGAAAGATTCTAGTTTTTGATATGCAGAGATGACTATTACTTCTCCTTACTTGATGTAACCAAGTGAGGTCAAGTTGAGAAAGGGGCATAGACTTAGTGCAGTGAGATCAGGGAGAGACATAGAACATCCAGGGGTTTCAAGGATTCTTGACGACACGTCCCTACACATCTTTGGTTGAATTTCTTATTTTGTTTATGCATTGTTTTCCTAATTTTGTTCAATCGTCTGTCCATGTTTCCTTGTAGTTCCCTGAATTCCCTAAGAGGATTATTTTGAATTCTTTGTCTGACAGGTCATAGATCTCAATTTCTTTAGGGTCAGTTATTGGAGCTTTATTAATTTCCTTTGGTGTTGTCATATTTGCCTCATTTTTCATGATCCTTGATTTTTTACATTATTATTTGCACATTTGAATAATTGGGCTCCAATTCCAGACTTTACAGGTTTGCTTTGGCAGAGACAGTTCTTCACCAGTCAGTTCAATTTGGGTTTCTGGGTGTCTGCTGGTAAGTCCTTGGGCAGGTGTGGTCTGCTATTACAGTCAATTTTTATATGATGCAATTGTTCAAATTCTAAGGATGGAGATGGGGGATTGTACCATTGGCTGAGAACAGCTGGCTAGGATTGCTGACTGGCTTCCTATCCAAGTGAAGCTGGAAGACAGGCTCCATGGTTGCCTGGATTCTCTGGTCAGGCTTACTAGATGGTCTAGACTGGGTACACTATTCAGTAGTAGATGCAGCTATAAATGAGCTTCCCTGATGTAGCAGGGCAGCAGGATGGGACCCAGCTTATTGTTTGGCGACCTAAATCAGGCCAGAGTGTATACTGAATTCCTTGGTTAGGTAAGGCCACTGATTTTTCTCTTTAGATGGGAGAAGTTGTGGGCTGTACTCTCTGTTCAAGTGTCACTGTATGTAGGGCAGTTGAATGGGCTATGTAGCTTCCTGTGTATTCTGGTTGGGTTCCTTATTTGGATAGGCTAAAGGTTGTAGTCAGCGATGAGCAGGGGTGTAAATTAGATTACCTACCTGGGCACAGCAGGAAAAGCAGCTCTAAAGCAGGTAAAACTCACTGTTTGCTAACTCAAGCCAACCTGCACCCCAGGTTCCCTGACTGAACAGGGCCACTGGCTTTGCTTTGCAAACTATCAGCTCTGCCTGTCTTACCTTGATTGAGTGGCTTCAGTGCCACTGGGCCAGCATAGTTTCCAGGAGTTGTCTCCAGCCCTTACTGGTCAGATAAGGCCAGAAGGCACTCTCCAAAGCAGGTGGGGCTATTTCTTAGCTCCCTTGCTTGTGTGGGAGGGAAAGGGACTGCTCTAGGCTCTTCTAAATTTCCCAAACATGTTGTATGGTTGAGGAGAGCTGCTCTTAGCCTTGCTATGAATTAATCCCCTTGCCTGTGTATACCATGGGAATGCTCCATGCCCAGTACTGGCTTTTCTGGGGGTGTTCAACTTGGCCTGCCTGCCTTTTGGCTTGAGTGCCACTGGCCTACACTGCTTCCAGGAATTGTCACTAGCCCTTCTGGTCAGATGGGGCCAGAAGACTCTCCACAGTGGGTGGGGCTGATTTAGCTCCTTGCCTGGATGAAGGCAAATAGGGCTCTAAGATCTGCAAATCTCCTTGTTTGAAGATCAGAATCAGACAGATCTGCCTTTTGCTGAGTTCCTTGGTCAGAGTGCATTCCTGATTTGGTTCTGCAAAGCTGCTGGTTAGGATTACTGCCTGGGCTGGCAAGTATGAACTTAGTCTGACAAGATCCACTTGTTGGCTATTGCAAGCCTCTCCTCTCTTCTCCATCACAGTCAGATTCCCAGGGGGTGAGACTCACAGATTCTCCTGCAATCCCTGTGGTGAAAGATCAGAGTATGGACTCCCACAATGCTTGGGGGGGATGGTTGTCCCCCTTGGGTTCTCTTTTCACACTGGAGAAACTGGAGGCTCAGGGGAGACCTCTCTGTGTGGTGCTATGCTGGTCTTGGGGAGTGGCAATGTGGTCACTGTGTAGTCACATCTCTTACCCTTCTAATGCAGTCTTTTGGTCTCTGTGGTGCAGTGGGTGCTTCAGCCTCACCCATGTGTTCCAGGATTCTCTCAGTAGTGTCTTGTTTTCTAATAGCTGTTAATTGTGCTTGTGAGGAAGAGCAAAGTGAGGAAGAATTTATGTTGCCACCTTGGTGATGTCATTGGTCTATTGTATTATTTTTATGAGGCTGCAGGTGACATAGAGATGGAAAGTTCTAGTTCTTATATTTTAATAGCTTCATCTGTTGGGAAGATCCATTTGAACAAATTAAATATAAATCAGTGGTAACTACTATAGTAAAGTCATGAATAAAATAGTATGGACGCATAGAACAGGGAGCATCTAATTGTTTCGGGGGTGATTAGAGATGGCTTCAGAAAGGTGACTCATGAATTGAATCCTGAAGAGTGAGTAGATATTTTCCAGGGGGAGGACATTTCAAATCTATTGAAATCACAATAGCAATACCAATGGTAGAAGTTCAGATGTGTTTCAAGAATGGTGAGATGCAGGAGGATAGGAAGTGGTTAAATACATTTGGTGAATAAGACTTGGCACTTAGTGTATGTGTAAGGAAAACAATGGAGTCAGAACTACTACAAGACCATCCTTTGGCAGACCCTAGGTCTCTCTATTAAAAATGGGTGTCTGTACTCTTCAGATATTAATTGGAAGTGTGGTCTGGGTTTTCTCCATGACAGGCTGTAAATCTATATTTTAGTCAGGGCTTTGTTCTTTTAGATTAATATATAATGTCCTTGAAAGCCCTCAATTCTTTTCTTTCTTATTTTTTTCCTCAGAAAAAAGAACCTTCTTTAAAAAGCTATATGATACTGTATGGTGATTAACATAACATAAAAAAATGCTATATGATAGTGCTGGATGTAGTTCATTTTAACAAAGGTCACAGCATTTTTGAGTAGTAAAGATGATCACCAGATCTTTCCAGTATCTAGATGTTTGTTTGGCGGTCATGTTTCCATCACTGGAATAAATAACTAGAGCTCCAGGGGCATATGACAGCTGTGAGCCTATGAAGCCTGTGGGTATCTGGGAAGAGCCAGATGCATCCTGTTTCTCCTCCACTATAGCCAAGAGAATCAAGGCAAAAAACTCCCTTTTGCTTGAATCAACCAGACTGTTGAGGAAGTATAGAGCTTGCCTGGTCTACTGGTTTCAATTTGGCCTTAGAAACCAAATGGGTAATAGGAGATTTATTTGAGAAGTTACTGTCAAGAATCTAAGATTCTTTTCAATTGCAGCTCAGCAGCACCTGGATTCTATTCCTAGAGTATTTCCTCCTGTGATGATAGTATCAGCAATTAACATACTTGTATTTATAAAGCTTTATTCTTCAGGGAGTACTCAACCCTTGGGAGAGGTCAGCTAATTAATTTCTGTAATGTTTCAGATTAGACTGTTGCATGTTTTATGACCTTGAAGATTGCAGTGGTTAAGTCACTAAGATATTAAATCACTTTTGCAAGGACTCCCAGTAAGGAAGCAATAGAAGATGAGCAAATAACTAAAATCTTGGACATTCTGGGAAGTGTTTCCATCACTGCCCCAAAGCAGGATCCTCACAGGAGTGTCCACTCTATTTTAAGCAAGGAAAAAATAATAAAAAAAGGGAGGCCTCATTGTCAACAGAGAAATAAGATGCTTCAGCATTCTAAGGAAATCTCTCTTATACAAATATGAAGTCATCTGAAATTATCCATATCTCTGGAACTCTGAAGATAATTTCTTAGCAGCTATGAAGTCAGAGGTTGGATGAACATCATTCTTTTGTAGCGTGGTGCAAAGATCACTGGACCCTGATCCACAAAACTCAGGTTTAAATGTTGTCCCTTCTACCTATTAGCTATGTTATCTTGGGCAAGATAACTGGTGCCTTAAAGTTTCAATTTTCTCAATTCTGAAATTGATATATTAATAACTGCCTGACAGTACAACCTTCTCTTCCCCTTCAGAGCCACTAACCTAGTTCAAGATTCCATTGTCTTTCACTTGAACTGCTACAGCTGACTTTTAATTGCTTTCCTCTATTTTATTCTTGATCTTCTACTGTCTCTTCTCCACATAGCTGTTGGAGTAGTCATTTAAAATCATAATTCAAATTGTATTACTTTTGCCTAAAATCCTCCACTGGTATCCATTTGTATTTAGAATAAAATATAAATTCTGTACCATGGCCTAAAAGACCTGTAAAATCTTGTTGTTTCTCACCTCCTTGGCCTACTCAAAACTGCTCTCTTAGCCTGACATTTAAGTTTTCCAACAATCTGACAACTAACTCTCCCAACCTCTTCTTTCATCATTGATTCATTCACATATATACATATTCAGTATATGCTGAGTATCTACCTTATGCCAGACACTGACCAGGTCCTGGGACTAAGGAGCTGAATGAGCTAGGTCTTTGGGGGAAGAAGGGATAAATAGAAATTTGAAAATCCTTATTTTACCTATGTTCTCAGAACAATCAAACCTTTGCCAAATTTGAGCAAGAACCTTAGTTATTTTATGACCTAAGATTTTTCTTTTATGATGAATAATAGACTTTAATACTTATGATGTATCTTTAAGATACCTGATTTCTCCAAACACTGCTCCAGCTTTCAGAGTAACCAGAACTTGAGCACCATCAGAGCCTCCAAGAACTTGGACTTCTCCTTGCTTGATGATATACATTTCCTTGCCAATTTCTCCCTGTATGCCATATATAAAGAGGAAATAGTAGTCACTTTACTCTTGACAATTATGTCCCAAATTAAGAAATAAAAACTGTTCCAGAGGAATAAATACAAATAAAGAAAGCAAGAAATATCAATGTAAAAGTAATTATCTTAAGACTTGAGTTAGTTATTGACATTGGTTGGACATAGCACATGAAAAGAAGTTATTAGGAAAGTGATACTTCCCAACATGTACCATTATATGCCACTCCATTGGATACTTCCCAACATGTAAGCATTGTATGCCACCACTGGACAGGTAAGCACTGTATGCCACCACTGGACAGGTAAAGATGTTTCAGTCAGCACATTGTTTCTTTTTTTTTTTTCTTAGCGTTTTATTTTTTTGTGTTTTTTGTTTTGTTTTGTTTTTTTAAAGATTTTATTTATTTATTTGACAGAGAGAGAGAGACAGCGAGAGAGGGAACACAAGCAGGGGGAGTGGGAGAGGGAGAAGCAGGCTTCCCTCTGAGCAGGGAGCCCAATGCAGGGCGCGATCCCAGGACCCTAGGATCATTACCTGAGCTGAAGGCAGACGCTTCACTGACTGAGCCACCCAGGCACCCAGCACATTGTTTCAGGGACAGGTACGGGTAGAGGAAATAACTGGTTGTAAGCATAGTCACCCCAGCTTTGGTGCCAGTGCTATGCTTAGAAGAAGGTGCTTGGTATATCAAAAGCACATGGGCTACAGCCATTCAAAGGTCAACTCCACCCTTCTGCCTATAACACTGAGGTCTGAATTTAGTAATTGGAGCATAGGAGACCTTTAAGCTATTATTCTTGTTCCATATTTAAAGGAAAGTGTCAATGTATCAGGTTGTTTTACTCAGTCTTGCTTATCTCTGGGGACTCTTGGAGTCAGGGCAATGATGCTTGTTCAAGCCTTGAGGACTAAAATCCTGGAATGTTCACATAGTCACCGGTTAATAGTGTTATCCTGTATGCCTAGGGCAGTGTAGCAGGATGTACCAGGCTGTCAACATTGTTTAGTGTAAACACAAAGATTTATGATGTGTATTTGGTATCTGGTTTGGAGTCTGAATCATGGCTAGTCATGTAGCTATGTGACCAGCACCATTTAACAACTTTTGACCTCAAGACTCTGATGGACTTCCCTAGGTGGAGACATTTTGTCTTTGTCTTTAGGTCTACAAGCTGGAGAGAAAAATGTATCCTTATGACCCTCTCAGAAGTAGGACCTAGGAAGCCTGCACCTGATTTATCTAGTCTTTGCCTATGTATAACTTTTTCTTCCTGTTCCTACACTGTATGCTTTGCTATAATAAATCTTAAGCCATGAATATAACTTTATGTTGAATTATGCAAATCACCAAACTAATGGGTGGTTGTGGGACCCTTTGAAGATCTCTTCTTGCTCCAAGATCCAAAAAGAATAAATATGTCTTACAAGAGACCTAATTGCAATTGGGTCAAGAAAAGCTGTTAAATTCTAAATAAGCTGGTTTGCATAATACTAGGCAAACTATTTGGATAATAACACCTATAACTCTTAGTGAATTGGGTCTCAATCACCCTGAGGAATAAAATAATAGCATGAACACAATGAATTTACTTACTTGGTTCAGGAGGGGACTGGTTATTTGAACTCACTAAATATTCCTGTTAGCCATATTTTCATTTATTCATTTGTCAGAGAGAGAGAGAGAGCACAAGCAGAGGGAGAAGCAGGCTCCCTGCTGAGCAAGGAACCCAATACGGGACTCGATCCCAGGATCCCGGGATCATGACCTGAGCCGAAGGCAGATGCTTAACCGACTGAGCCACCCAGGCATCCCCATTAGCCATATTTTCAAAAGATTAAAATACAATAAATTAACTCAGGATTAAACAATGTTGATTACAGTTTCTGCTCTGTGATGGCTTATTTTGTTCCAGTGCTGAGCATAGGGCTTATGATATAGGCACTCATTTATGAATGAGGGAAATTATAGTTTAACCATTTTCTGGGAAGTTTTGAAGACCTTTAATACTAAGGTTTGTTTTCATTCCACCCCCCCTTTTAAAAAAGATTTATTTATTTTAGAGAGATAAAGAGAGAAAGTGAGCGCAAGTGTGGGAAGGGGCAGAGGGAGAGAATCTCAAGCAGATGCCCTGCTGAGTGCAGAGCCCCATATGGGACTTGATCTCAAGACCCATGAGATCATGACTTGAGCCGAAACCAAGAAAGAGACGCTCAACCAAGTGAACCACCCAGGCACCCTGATTGTTTCCCTTTCCTGAACATTAATTCTTGTCATATTCTAATTGTTAGGTTGAATTTAAAGTTTTCAGATTCTACCTCTTAGTTAACATCTGTGACATTGAATTTCTCATTTTATCTTCCCATTACTTTTATGAGGAAGGTAAAGTAAGCACTATTATTTCCATTTTACAGAAAGAAAAATAAAGGCACAGATCAGCACAGTTGACTAGCCAAAGCTCCATGACAGTAATTAGAAGCAACTAGATGGGGCGCCTGGGTGACTCAGTCGTTAAGCGTCTGCCTTCTGCTCAGGTCATGATCCCAGTGTCCTGGGATCTGGAATCGAGCCCCACATCGGGTTCCCTGCTTGGTGGGAAGCCTGCTTCTCCTTCTCCCGCTACCCTTGCTTGTGTTCCCTCTCTCACTGTGTCTCTCTCTGTCAAATAAATAAATAAAAGCTTTAAAACAAAAAAAGGAAGCCTAGAATGCACTGTGCAATGCAAGTATTTTTAAATTTTGCACTGTGTATAATATTAAGCATGTATTTATTCTCAAACATAGATCAAAGTAGAATTCCAAGACAGATGGATCTTGTTACAGTTATTTCCATAATATCAATGTTAACAACTACATCTTACATTTACACAGTACTTTTAAAAATCATAATAATATCTGATATTTACATTGCTCCTTATCTTAATACCTGCATTTGTTCCATCAGAACATGCTACTTTATAATTGCAAAGCATTTTCAGGGATCTTAACTCATATAATTCTTGCAAAAATCCCAGTGAGGTCAAAGATATTTAAAAATTGGTAGTAGAGGCTTGAAAAGTTAAGTGTCGAGCAAATTTACAAGGTTGGCAGATGGTAGCATTAGAACTAGTAGCACCTATGTCACCTGACTCTATAGAATATATAGAGATAGATCATATCTAATGATAAATCCAGTATCAACATCAATCTCTTAAAAATCAATAAAATAGCTATGAATTATTTAAAAAAAGGAAAAGTATCTGAATATTAGTTTTCCAAGAGATACTCCAGGAAGTAGTGATTACTACAGGGCTATATTCCTTATTCTTTGCATGAAGTAATTCTCAAGGAACTGGAACAATTTTCCAAAGGCAGTTATTACAACTGACTGGAGGTAGAAGTACATAATGGGCATTTAAATATAGTTCAGCACTTTTAATTATTTTTTAATGATCATTTCAATAATTTTCCAAGGAGATCTGGCATAATCAACGAACCAAAACTTCCACGATTTCTTGCATATTTCTAGGCTAATTTAAGCCTTTCCTGCAAGTTTAATTAGCATTCAAATGAAGTAGACATTCCTCAGAGAACAAGGTCTGACAGCATGTGCAAAATAAGATCAAACCAAGCTTTTATGGTTGGTTTATGTACTAATTTGGAGAAAGTGTAGAAATGCAAGAGCTTCATGTAGAGTGAAGTAACCCTTAGTGAGAGAGCACTTCAAATTTTCAGGGTTCCTATGTAGAAGGATATATTCTTCAGAAGGGGCATTCTGACACTCAAATTAATTCTTGCAATTGATTCTGGGAAAATTCCCAAGTATTCTTTGAAATGGTTCAAGCTACCCACTCAGTATATTTGGGAGTCATCTTGAAGATTAGGCAGGTCTGCAAACTTCATCCCGAGCCCTGACATTTCTTCAATTATTAAGGCAAATGCCAATAGAATATGAGTTTTTTCCTTCCTGTTTCCTACAGTGATTTGTAGAAATGATAAGCAAAAACAAAGCTGAATTTAACAACTTTTCATCTCTGTCTATATCTACTATGAATTAAATCCTCCTCTCTTAAAAACAAAAGCAAAGCAATGTGGCAGGTAGTCTCATGTTTTCTCATTTCTGCTCTTTCCCCTACTTCTTTCCTCCCCTCACTTGTGTTCTCTGATCTGTTTTTATTATTGAGTGCTGGATGTATGTGAGGAAGGAATTAGAAATGAGAAGGCTGTATCTACTCTGCATTTCACATTTTGTTAAGCAAATTTGCACTGCTTAGGGGCATGGGTGTTAAAGTTTCTATGAGTTATCTCAATTTCCAGTCCCTGCTGTTATTGGAACAAATTGAAAGGCCATTTTGGTGCATTAAGGCCATGTCATTCCAAATGTACCACTGCCCTAAAGGGGTCCTTAAACTGAGCTGTGGTTTATATTTCCCATTTCAATGAAAATGATTTCATATCACCAACCTGCCTATTTTTACCTTGGACTAATTTGTGTAGGATTGCATATTCTTGGTTTCTATTATGTCACAATCTCTCCTCTATTTTTCCTCCTTTACCTCTGATAGCTCCTTCTCTGATTCTTCTTCCTTGACCTCCTCCATAAATAGTGGCATTTTTCAAAGTTACAGGCCTTGGCCCTCTTCTTTTACCTTTCATGAGCTTCTAATGAAGTTGGTTTCCATATGGTGGTTCCCAAGATTTACCTCTAGTTCTATCCTCTCACAAACTAGACTGATTTCTACCTGTGCACCAGCTATCTCCACCTAGATGCCTTGAAATACCTTATACTTTTGACTTTGTTTTACACCATTATCCCAGTTGATCACTTGCTTCCATTCTGTAAATATGCCAAGCTTTGTCCTACCTCCTGGCTCCAAGTCTTCATCTAAAATGCTGTCTTCTCCACCTTATTAATACAGAAATATTTCTCTTTATATTTTGTAAAGGTCATGGCTGACAACCTGACAACCTCCCCCTTTCTCAACCTCCAAATCTAAATAAGTGCCATTGCCACGACACGCTTCCCTAGAGAATTCTATTTTTCCTTTATAGAAGTTAGCACATTTCGGAGTTATGTATTATTTAATTTCATTTGTTTATTGTTTGTCTCTTCCATCAGGCCAGTGAATCTCAACTTTGGCTGCATTTTAGAGTCATCTGGGAGCTTTTAAAAAATATTGATATGTGAGCTCCACCCTAACCCATTGAATTGCTGGGGATGGAGCCCAGACTTCTAATTTCAGGTGATACTGATGTACACTGTGACTTGAATACCCCTGCAGTGTTGATCATACCCAGTACTCAGCACAGTTCCTGGCCATAACACTCAAAAATACTGACTTTTTTGAATAAATGGTACTAGAATGTTCTAACTTTTGACTTACTGTAATTTTCTGAACTTCCTCTGCAGAGAGTTTCTTTCTGCCTTAGCTCATGCTAATTCTTTCCTCTATCTGGAATGCCTATTTCTTCTTTTTCTTGGTTCATGTAAATTCATTTTTTTGGCTCTTTTTCTTTTTTTTTTAAAGTAGCCTCCATGCCCGGCCCAATGCCAGGCTTGAACCCACGAACCTGAGATCAAGACCTAAGCTGAGATCAACAGTTGGACACTTAACTAACTGGGCCACCCAGGTGACCCCATGTAAATTCACTTTTTAAGACTTGGCTTGAATAGCATCTTCTCCAGGAAGACTTGCCAGTACCCCAGTGGGACAAGTATCCTTACTCTGTGTCCTATAACAGTCTGAGCTTATGTTTACCATAACACCTAACACATTATTTTGGAATGATATAAGTGCTTCTCACCACTTGCTTGTGAACTCCCCAGGGTTTTGGATCATTTCTCATTTCTTTAAACTGCTCATCTTCCTCTACTTTTTATTCTGATTATTGACTTCACTATTGATTTAGTCTCCCAAGATACAAAACCCAAAGTCAGCATTCCTTCTCTCCTCCCTTAAGTTAGAACTCAGAGATGTGCAAAAATGTTCATTGTAGAGTTATTTATAATAGCAAACATTTGAAAGTTGTTTATAATATATTCATAGACTATAATATTATGCAGCTTTAAAAATGAGGTTGTAAAAGATAAATGAGTAGTTAATAAAATATTCATATGATATATAGTTACATGACAAAATATAAATACAGTATGTCAGTTTTATAAAACCAGCTTTATCTAGCCACTAATCAGTATAAAATATAGGTTATAATATATGAGTAGTGGTTATTTCTGGGTGGTGAAATTTTTGTCTTTATGCCTTTATGTGTTTTCTATTTTAAAAATAATGAGCATGTATTACTTTTATAATCGTAAAAATTACAGTAAAATTGGAAAGAATGTGGCATTAATTATCCACTAATTGGGAGAGCAAAATGGAGGTAACTGATAACTTGCTGAAGACATAAAAAGGGCAGAACCACCTTTCACTTCTATAACTTTTTTCTCCACTTTAAATATTTGGCATTAATGGGGTGTGACAATTGATTTACATTTATACAAAACAACTTTTCAGACTTCTCACACTTATGTAAGTAATGAAATCCATATTGTCTTGTTCCATTTTGAACTCAGAGTAGATTATTCTTTTACAAAACTGTGTGTCATAATTATTTCTATACTATAGAATTCACCCTGAAAATTCTGTTTAAACTATGCTCTTGAACTATATCTGAACTCCTTAAATGTACTTACTTACTGGTTGTGCTTTCAAAAGATAGCATGCACTCACCTTTTTGCAGACGAAGTCACCAGGTAAATAAACAGTGGATTTCAATCTTAGCAACATGTCATAAATCATCTGTGTATCACAACCCTAAAGAAAAAAATAACAGAAAAATAATTCTTACAGACACAGCTACAAAGACAACATTCCAAATAATTTTAAAATGACATGAAAATAAATAGTAATAGAAGTTGTCTGTGTTAACATTAAAATATTAATTGCTGATGGATATGGACTTGTTTTGACCCAAAATTTAGGAAAACACAAACAAACCTATAGTGTGAATGCAACCCTTTGGATCCTGGTCAGACAGATTTGGGTTTTAATCCTCTCTCCACTACCTATTACTACAGAACCTTTTCTAATCTGTTAAGTGCGAGTTAAAAGAGTACATTTCATAATGGTAAAATTTTACTCATGTAAAATTTAATATAATGTTTAGTTAATGATAGCTATTAATGATTATAATATAATAGTGATAATTATTATTAGTATTAAGACTGACCTAGATCAAAATAAAAATCTGAATATTTTTCTTTTTTATAACATCTTACATACTATTGTTTGATATTATTATTTAACTTTCCAAGCTTGTATGTCTTTCTTTACCAACTTATTATCTTCTTAAAGGCAGAGTAACTGTACATAATAGATACAAAAGCAGTATCTGTTGAGTAAATGATATTCGTATCCACTTTAATAGTGTAAGAGACACATTTGATTTGTTAGAAATGTGTGTGTGTATTTGTATTGTGCCCAAAGAATTATAATTTATCTATATGATAGGTTAAAAAAAATTGATAGATGCTTCAAAAATGTTACTCTACATAGTGGTTTGGAATCTTTTGCTTTCGCCAAATATTTTAATTTTTTTCTCTCAGAGCTAACATGTAGCTGCTTTCCTTTTGTGGTTGGTCCTGCCCATCCCTTAGAGGAATGATTATTTTGTGGAGAACTAATCATAGTCAGGAGCAGAGGAAGGAGGAGGAGATGCAAAAGGCACGCTCCCAATTTGTGGATTGGATAATCATTCTTTCAGCAATCACCAGTTTTCCATAATGACTTCAGTAGCAAACACTTGACCTAGATCCATCTGAAATTTAGACTTCAGGGTTGTTTGACTGATAAGGAAAGTTAATAATTTATGATTGAAGTATCTTCACGTATAGGTGAATACGTGACTCCCTACATTGGTAGGGAACATTCAAATGAACTTGAAGTCAGAATTTTAAAAAATTTATGTGAGAAAGTATAGCTTTTGGTTATCCAGGATGGAAAAAAAAAAGGCCAAGGCTAATAGCAATACCTTCTTAATACAGTCGAACAAATATTGATGAAAAGCTGCTACGAGCAAGCCTTTGTACATGCCCTTGGAGCTATGAAAGATGAAAGAGAGTACGCTAGTTGGGATGATGTTTTAAGTAAACAGAAAAGCTGTAACTGATGGTAGAAGTGAATCATGTCATAAGACATTCCAGTTAAATATCCATAAAACTTTTAAGAGGAGGGGCAGTTACTACTTCCTGGGAGTGGGGACAGGAGAGAGGAGAAGCGCCAAGAAGTTGCTCATGTGGATAACACAATTTGAGTCCGTTGAAGATGAGTATGATTTGTATTTGCAAAAACACAGAAAGATCCTTTTATTTTTTTATTTTTTAAAGATTTTATTTATTTAACAGAGAGAGACACAGCGAGAGAGGGAACACGAGCAGGGGGAGTGGGAGAGGGAGAAGAAGGCTTTCCGCTGAGCAGAGAGCCGGATGTGGGGCTCGTTCCCAGGACCCCGGGATCATGACCTGAGCCAAAGGCAGATGCCCAACGACTGAGCCACCCAGGCACCCCAGAAAGATCCTTTTAGATAAATGAAAATTTACCTTTTCTTTCCTTGTTATATATTTGTTTTGTGAAAGGTATATAATTTTTATTTATATTTGTTTTATTCCTACTGTGTCTCATAGGTTATCATATTTGCTAAAGCAAATGACAAACATTAATTTCTTTCTAAAAATTGTGGTTATTTTGTTTTTAGTAAAAATTCTCTAAATATATGGCTAATGGGCCTGATTTCTTTTTCTTTTTTTAGATTTTATTTATTTATTTTAAAGAGAGGGGGAGAGAGAGAGAACATGGGTGTGAACAAGCAGACTCTTGTGCTGAGGGCAGAGCCCAATGTGGGGCTCAGTCTCATGACTTTGACATCATGACCCTAGACAAAATCAAGAGTGGGATGCTTAACTGACTGAGCCACCCAGGCGCCCCATCATGTGCCTGACTTCTTTTCTTTTTCTTAATTTAAATTCAATTAGCCAACTTATAGTACATGATTAGTTTCAGAATGTAGTGTTCAATAATTTATTAGTTGTGTATAACACCCATTGTTTATCATATCACGTGTCCTCCTTAATGCCTGTCACCCAATTATCCCATCCCCCCACCCAACTCCCCTCCAGCAACTCTCTGTTATTTTCCTATAGTTGAGAATCTCTCATGGTTTTTCTCCCTCTCTGATGACTTCCCATTCAGTTTTCCCTCCCTTCCCCTATGGTCCTCTGCCTTGTTTCTCATATTCCACATATGAGTGAAACCATATGATAACTGTCTTTCTCTGATTGACTAATTTTGCTCAGCATAATACCCTCCAGTTCCATCCACGTTGATGTAAATGGTAAGTATTCCTTCTTTCTGATAGTTAATATTCCAGTGCCTGATTTCTCTTAAAGTTGTAATTAGTTCAGAGTAATTTCATTTTGGAAACTGGTGTTCTGATCATTCAGAACTCTTAGAAAAAACACAAACTTTAATTTTAGGATCTCCCTCACTAAAGAAAGTTCATGTTCTTGATGTTTTAGAGAAAATTCATTAGAAATATACTTGGAAGTTCTTAAGCATGTTTAGAATATCATTGTGATGAAGCTAACTCTCAATCATTCATATCTATGGAGAAGAAGAACACTGTAAATAATCAGAAACAGATGATTTAAAAAACCCACTTACATTTGTGCAATTTTTTTGGCATTAATTTTTACAATCCTAATTCTAATTTGTAGGCCAAAATAAAGTTTTCATTCCTTCTATTGGAATGAACTTTGATGAAAATTCCCAACTGTATTAAATTGTATTCATAGGAGTTATTAATGATTTTAAATGTTTTCCTGTGACCTTAATTCTTGTTCTATAAATACACAGAGATGTGTGGCAGTATTGTTTTCAGTACTGAAAAAACTGGAAACAACATAATGCCAATCTGTGGACAGATAAAAATGTTGAATATTTGTAGGTTGGAATACCACAGGGTGGTTAAAATATATAAATCAGATCTTTCTCTGTATATAGACATGATTGAACTTGACAAAAAATGGGACTGCACACAAAAGCAAGATGTAGAATATAATCACTATGACTCCAGCTATGAAAACACTACACAAAATAGTCACTGATGTCTGTATAGATATAAAGTAAAATTATAAAAATGAGGACTGGAAGGATACCTTGAAATCATTTAGTGGCCCCCTCTGGGGAGGGTTGGAGAATGGAACTGGGGAGAAGAACTGATGAGATGTTGACTTGACTTTTATTAATTTTAATGAAAATGAAGTAAAACACACTTCCCAAGATCGTTTGTAGGCGCAGAATGCCCTTTGAGGAAGAACACATTTCATCTTTTCTCTTCTACCTTCAGGTTAGCTCACTGGCAGAAAGCATTAATAAAGGAAACCCAATGCATGAAAGTGTTAGACCAAACTAGGAGATGAGCTCTAAAATAGATAAGCAAACAATTATTGCTTTCCTCAGTAGAAATGTGCAAGTGCCTACCTGAATAACTTTTAGCTTATAGCTTGGATTTCCTCAGAGAAAAACATTTGAACTGTTATAAATATGAATTTTTATTAACACATTTGCATCGAATATGTATCAATTTATGTAAATGGAACATAGCAGCTGTATGTAATAAAAACTTACAGTTTAAGTTTTATCAATTAAGAGATTCTGTCCCCAGTTGGTTTATGGACAGGTGCCATTGGTCTTGGGGCAGCTGTGATTTAGAACTAGGTCCTTCTCATCTGTACTTAGGCTTAGTAAATGAAGTTTGTATGATGAATAGTTTATGTGTCTGACAACAATTATCTCCACCGCCCACCCCTTGAAAATGATTATTTTCTTGAGATACACTTTGTTCCACTATTGTGTGATTAAAAAGAATTACATCCCAAGGCTAGTGTTTTTTCTTTGTAATGCAGCTCCATTTCTTTTATAGAGGCCATTAGGAAATTTTGTGATTTATAGAAGGTCAGAGCACAGTCATTGTTTCATAAATGTCCTTTTTAAAAATAAAGCGAGAGTACCTGTATAAGTATCAACATTAACATTATGTTAATAGCATTTGTATTAAATTTTACTATTTTTTTATGTTTACCTGTTTTATTCTTTCAACCTTCCTGTGATGCTTGGCATTAATTAATATATTATCACTCCTGGTTTTTAGATGAGGGAACGGAAGCTCAGGAAATCTACTGACTACTTCCCTAAGGTCACACACGCAATAGATGTCAGAGAAAGGGAATCACCAGAGTGTGTGTGTTGTTGTTGTTGTCTTTTAAATCCACATTCTGAGCAACTGAGGGCAAGATCTGTGTATTATTTACTTCTGTACCCTCAGTGTCTCACCAATGTTTGGGGCATGCTGGGCACTAAGTAAATATGGGGTGATGCATAAAATGAAGTTGTTAGATACTATTCCATCTTCAACAATGGGAAATTCAGTGCTATATAAATGTGTATTACAGATTTGAATAAAGATTCTGGAGATTTGAACAGAAATAGAGAAATTCTATTTTTATTTTATTTTATTATTATTTTTATAGATTTATTTATTTATTTTAGAGAGAAAGAGAGTGCACGAGAGCTGGGGGAGCAGTAGAGAGAGAGAATCCCAAGCAGACTCCTTACTGAGCACAGATCCCCAATGGGGAGCTGGTGGGGGGCTCCATTCCACGACCCATGAGATCATGACCTGAGCCGAAACCAAGAGTCGGAAGCTCAACTGACTGACCCACCCAGGCACCCCTCTATTTTTATTCAATTCAAAACAT